AAAACCCTTACCTTCCATTCTCCCTCCTTCTTCACACTCCTAATCACGCCGCTCAGGATTTCTGATGGACAAGAGCAGAGAAAAACAAACGTTACCTGGGTTTTGTTTCACCCAATGGGCTGCACCCTTAAAGCCGGAAAAATCATTTCTGACAAGGCTCTTCCTGAGAGAGGGAAAGAGAAAGAGCTGGTGAAAACAGCACAAAACCCAAGGGAAGCCATTCTAGAACACTGGCGCCATCCCAGGACAGTTCCAGAGAAATGGCACCATCCCGGAACAGTTCTGGAACACTGGCTCTGTCCCGGAAGACTTCTGGAACAACGGCGCAGTCCAGGAAGAGTTCTGGAACAGTGGCGCCGTCATTTCTTGAACACTGGCACAGTGCTGGAACAGTTCTGGGACTTTTCGAAACTTTCAAAGAAGTGAGTATTCTTGGAATTAGACAATCTGACAGTCTCAGTGCTGTTTTTATCTGAAGTGTTAAATACGGTTTCACAGGACACTGTTCTGCAGAGACTGCAGAGCAGGGGGTGAGAACCTGGTGCATCTCCTGTGAACAGACAGCCCTAACACACTGCAAGATAGCTTATATGCGTTGGAGCTCAAGAAACACCTCAGCAGAAAAAATGAATGCAAGTTAACATCTGATATACTGTAGAAGCAGATTAATTTCTTGGCATATAAGAATCTAGACCCCTGTGACTGGGCTGTGTCAGTGTACTGGACTCCAGAGAGACTAGAAGAGTCTAGAGCCTGTGACTGTCCTGTGTCAGTGTCCTGGACTCCACAGGGACTAGAAGAGTCTAGAGCCCTGTGACTGGGCTGTGTCAGTGTCCTGGACTCCACAGGGACTAGAAGAGTCTAGAGCCCTGTGACTGGGCTGAGTCAGTGTCCTGGACTCCACAGGGACTAGAAGAGTCTAGACTATAAAGGCTATATGAGACTATATGAATGTTTCAATCCCCACTTTCATTTGCTTAAGAACACAGACACAGAAATGATTCTGATTACAGCATGTTATCAGCACACCTGCTTTACCTGGTTGTGTTATTATCAGACTGCAATGCGGTGAGGTCAAATAACTTAATTAACCTCAGCCAGCGAGGGGCAGCAGGCCTGCTATTTAAATCCAGCAGTGCTACGCGCTCTCCGTGACACTCTCCCAACTCGGTGCTTGACAGCTTTTTATGTTGGCAAGCCTGCCGTGTTTTTTCCCAGCCCGCTCCGCAAATTCGATTTCCGCTGCGTGGATTTTAACAGAGAGCACCCCCTGCCCTCTCCATTCTGTTCAATGAATTTCAATTACTCCCCTCAGAAGGCAGATACAGATTTCCCAACCTAAACACAAACAGGCTTAAATTCTCATTTATATAACCCTGCTCAACAGATGATCCTGTTGTGCGAATATATAAATATGTGTGTATATGTGTGTATGGTTTATTTGTGTGTTTTTAATATAGTGTGCTGCTGCCAAACAAATTGCCCCTTGGGGATAAAGATTCTCTCTGACAATAGTCGCCCAGCTGCAGAGTGGCTCTGGGGTCACCAGAGTCCAACAGGGGTCCCTCCTGATGCCCGTTTGTATTGTTTCTCTCTGATGTACCTCTTAATGAGGTCAAATCATGGTAGGATTTCTGCCTCACCCACTAGATCGGCCATACTGGAAAACAACTACTTGTTATGGTTCGCCTTTAATTTCCATCCCGTCGGGGAAACAGGGAGGAGAGTTTCGGAGCAACAGGAGAAGCAGCAAAACAAAATTCGTTTTTTTATTACCAGATTTGAATTTGTTTTTTTTTTTAAAGCACCTGTTTTAGGACAGCAAGAATAGCACTGGGGCGGTCAGATTTGGTCTGCTCGATTTCTCAGCAATGAGATCTATCAGATCTACTGAGACCAGGTCTCCTTCTCCACACTCAACCTCCTGGAACAACCCCA